AAAGTTCAATATTTATAATTTAATTTTTTTAATTAATTAAATTTAGATGTTTTGCTTCAAGTATCTTATGTACAACTTGCTTTCAACTCTCACCCACAAATTCTCTCAAAACCGCCGAATCGACTTGTAAGTGACGTGTATGTGTCAGCGCTTGACAAGTGTCAGTTGTCAGCTGTCAGTGCGTGCGTGGCGCATCAAAGCGTGCGCTTGCACAACGACACAGGCAATTTTCAACGCCACCAGAGACACTGCTTAGCCACCAGACAATATTTAGCGCTGCAAGCGACCATCACCCTTACAAATCACGCGCTGCCGCCGCTGCCACAAGCAATTTGGCTAGATTTGTGGCAATGATAGCGTCAACACAGCCACAAATCAAGCTTTGGGGTTGATAGCAATGCAGATAGAAGCAAGAGAATAAGATATCGCAAGTGGATAGAGGGAAATAAGCAAAAATAAACGCAACTCATCAGCTGATGGTTCAATTCTTAAAAGCAAGGCAAGCAAGCAATTGATATATCTGTGGCAGCCACATTACAAATAAAAAAAATATACCTCACTGCCACGACAGCAAATGTGCTTGTATATCGATGTCACCCAAAAACAAAAAAAAAACACAAAAAAAAAAAAACAAAAAATATCAGACAGTAAAGGCGCTGTAGATCTTATCTTCTTAGTCATGACAATCACTTTACCCCGCAAATGTTGTCGAACAAAGCGCTGAATCACCCAAACCATATAGAAAGATATATTGGGAAGCAACTCTGCTTTACACACACATATAAGAACTTCCATACAAGCACACACAGTTGAAGGGCCCCTGGAACCCTTGCCGCTTATCCTTAATGAATATCCTGCATTAACGCCACTAAGCGCTCTACGGCAGTTCACAAGCGCTTTTAAGTGTTTTTCTATTCGGCTATTGTTTCGTACGCATCGTCACTCGACACTCGGTGACTGTGTCTTGCATGACGGCGGTATCGGATTTCCGGTAATTTTTGATAGAGTAATCAATTGAGTTTGCTGCTGGGCAGGGAGGTTAGATGGAGTGGGGAGGATGTTGGTTATATAATAAAAAAATTTAGTAACAATTTAAGTAAGGTATAAAATTAAATTAAAATAAAAATTCAATTAACAACAATTGG